AGAAAAAAAACAAAAAAACCCAACACCCCGACCTTCCCATCGTTTCAGATTTGAAACTGCATACAATGTACTCGCATTCAAATTCTTTACTTACTTCCTATTCAGCCTTAGTCCACCCGGCCTTTTCATTGTCTTCTTTGTCCTACTATATATTTTCCAGTCAGTTCGAAAATCAAATATTGAATGTGACATCTTGTGCTACGCGTGGGAAAGAAGGAGGCAGATGTCGCCGGGACGCTAGTCTGACTGAGACTCGGACAGTCATTCAGCTGCTTTTTAGTTTTAGTAGAGGTCTTACGGCGCTCACAACTGCATAAGGTCATATATGAGCGCCAAGGGGTGGGTGTCAACTGAGAAGTCCTTACAGGGAATCATACTTACTCTATTCACCTCTCTAGATTCAACAGCACAAAGTCTGCTTCGACTATCAAGGCACCTCTGAAATAGCGGGTCACAAGAGTGTTACAAACGTACAAAAGAAGCTGAGGAAAAATGACGATAGTAAGGAAATAAGAAAGAAAAAGCAGTAGTTCCCTGTTGCAGTTCAGGTACAGTTATGAACATGGCATTGTGATGAACCAGCCCATTTACAATTTTTAATTCTGCTGTGCCTAGAACATATATTATATATATTGATGTCCCCCCCGTTGGGAATGGTCTAAGAGACATTTCAGTCAGTAGCACCGCCCCGGGGGTGCACACAGTCGCTGTAAATGTGAAGCTGCCTACGAGTACTCACGAGGAAAGTGATGATCTGACAGTGCTGGCCTCTGCGAGGTCGCAATAATATAGGGTGTCATAAATTGTCAGAGGAAATATTTATTTATATGTTAAAGAGAAGAGGCGAAATATAATTTTTTGTGCTCAAGCGCGCGAGCTAGCATACACACACACGTGCACTCTCGCACACGCATACACATACACATACACAGACACACACACACACACACACACACACACACGCACACACACACGCACATACACACCAATGTATATTCAAAACAAACACACACACACACACTCACACATGTGTACATACTCAGAGAGAGAGAGGGGGGGGGGTGGAGATCAGACACACACAAACTGAGAGAGGGAAAGAGAGAGACAGACAGACGTTCAGACAGACAGACAGAGATCTCTTTCCGTCACCCTCGTGTCCTCTCACTCACACACATAGCGCGATCTGGATTGGGGACACAGCTGTCGGCATTGCTGTTTATTTCCATTTTTTTTTTTCTTTTTTCTTTTTAAAACAAATTATGAACTCGTATTTATTCCATAAAGTCCAACTAAAAATGATTATGAATGACAATTTATACTCGTAGTGGTAGGCCACGGTTGGATCAATACAACATGCAATTTCACGCATGAAACTTCGACTCTCAGATCTCTTACAACCTGGTGACTGTCCTGTTTGTAAGAGTTCCCATGTTGCGC